AATATATGTATCTTCGAAAAATGAATATATACATACAAACAATAATAATAGTTATATTTTCAATAATAGCTATATCAGTTCTATCTTCTTGTAATATGATGTGTATGTACATGTAACTGTTCTGTTTCACTGTGTCTTGATAAAGGAGCCGATCGCTCCGAAAATTTGACAACCTAAACTTGTCCACACTGTTGGAATTACTTCTTTGCCCCACATACCAACATATCTACATACCAACATATATACATACCAACATATCTACATACCAACATATCTACATACCAACATATATACATACCAACATATCAACATACCAACATATATACATACCAACATATCTACATACCAACATATCTACATACCAACATATCTACATACCAACATATCTACATACCAACATATATACATACCAACATATCTACATACCAACATATCTACATACCAACATATCTACATACCAACATATCTACATACCAACATATATACATACCAACATATCTACATACCAACATATCTACATACCAACATATCTACATACCAACATATCTACATACCAACATATATACATACCAACATATCTACATACCAACATATCTACATACCAACATATCTACATACCAACATATCTACATACCAATATTTCCATAGTATTATATTTTCTTTGATATTTAAAGATCAGTTCATTCGATCAGTATTTTCTTCCATCTCGTAATTGAAGATGGAAGAAATTACTGATAGAATGTAATAAAAGAGTAGAAATTATTATCTTGATTGTCTAATTACACCAGTCTAGAATACACGTATGTAACGTTAACGCCCAATCAACGGAGTTTAGGGCCAGGTTCTATAGAAAACAACAATCAATGGCAAGTTCACTTCTACGTAGTTGATCTTGAAAAACAAATCTTAGTCAAACCAAGGGACCGTATATTACTGATATATTGAAAAACACCTGATATCTCGTGATAAAAAGAGCTACAATTTATGGCGGAAAACTGCACATATTTCCCTTAGTCGGCATTTATGAAAACGGAAAAGAAAAAAAAATGAGGAAAAATATCCAGCAGCAAAAAATGCATAGAATAGATATAAAACCAATTGAATATGAATGTTTGAACTGCTGAGATATAAGGTATTGTTGATATGATACTGCAAACATAGCCATACTAATTAACCATATCTTTGAAAGTAATGGGGTTCCCAAGGCTTAAACAAATACTTTCAACACTTTCCCATCCGAGGCCAAACTTTTGAATAAGTTTTTTTTATTCCGTGATGTAATATGCAAAAACAAATCGTATTCCGGAAAAGTGGTCCTCCATTGGGAAAGTGCTTAAAATAATGAAAAACAGGGTGGAGATAGTTTCTTAAACTTAAAAGTCAAAAATACTATTTGCGTGAGTCAAATATCGGGTAAAAAATCATGTTGTTTTGCATTTTTTGGCGTTTTTTGATGTGGTAACCATGGTTTTCACAAGTACCAAATCTGGGGAAATCACTTTCTGAAAGAAAGAAAAAATCTTCGAAAAACAATGTATTCATAATGAAGTTTATAAATATATATATATATATGTAGGTGTGTTGTGAAGGATAAATCCGCTATCCATGTTTATCTGAGACATGCCCTTTATTTTTAGGATCAAGCCATTTCTACTGTACCCTGCTACCTAACGCAGTTGACTTGTGACCAGACGAAAATACCGGTGCACGTTCAAATCCACGTTCAGGTGTGTGTTTTTTTTTTTTTTTTTAATATTTAGGCATGTGATCTTTTTCCTTAATTAAGTAAGAAAATATTCAAATCAATGGTACACTTTATTTATATTTTAATAAAATATCTATTTATTTATCTTCTATGGAATCCTGTAAACAAATCCCTGTACACGTGTACAGTACAGCTACGCTTTGTAGATAAGACATCATCTTAAAAGATATTTATGAATTGTTTTACCCTCCAATTGGCACTAGTAAAAAATATGAAGTGTTATTATAGCAAATATATATCCATACGGGGAAAATCATCGTTGAGGATAGTCTCATTTGTTTGAAATGCAGGAAGACTGCTGCACAAAGTAAGGATCGCAATACACGTATAAGACATGCTATTCGAAAATTATTTATATGATTTTGCCATTTATAGGTGCAGGAAAAACAAAATCAAGTTGTGTTTTGTAAGCAAGCAGGTAACGGCATGACGCAGGCAGTAGTACTGACAATTAAGTCCTTTCAAAGCTTGATGGTAATGATTGTACGATCCTGTGTTACATTTAGCATATTATTTATTTTAAATTCATAGAAATAACGCGGAATACGCATTTTGTTGAGTCTTTATCGTGAAACGCATGTATCAATAGCCATGGCCTTGAATTCGGCTGTTTACATTAATCAGCTACCTGTATAAAAATACCTGAGGACGCGTCAAAACAATACACAGGTGGCACACGCGCACTAGCGGTCTCCTCTTTGGGGAAATCGGCATAGCAACCCGCCATAGCTCTTTAGCTTATTTATAATATCAAGCATCGAACGTGCATTATTTATGGCGATAACAGTTATGCTAAGTATGTTTGAAAACCTCAAATCAATCAAACTTAATAGCCTTGTCCGTACTTTAACTCTGCTTTAGACATCCGCGTCTGGACCGTGACTGAGTCTATAATATATCATTTTGTTAACACACTTCTGGTTGACATGTGAGATGCTGAAGTTTGTTCATATGCTGGACAGTGATTTCGTTATCATGCTTAATGTGTACAGGTCATACGTTTGTTACTGTTTAGACCTAGCAAGTTTAAGAAAAAAGAACTATTCTCAGGGAAGAACTCCTAAACAGTATTGATATATTGATGTATACTTATCAACTGCATCATCTTGTTCTTACTGTCTGTGCAATTTGTGCAGGAAGTTTTAGATAAAAAGAGACAGTTATAGATTTGAAACGCAACCATACAAATATTCTCACTTACTGGCAATGTATCGTAAATCATCTGGAAAGGAAACCTTCTACGTTTTACATGAGCCTCGTAAATGATAAATATTGCATGATTGAGATCTACATGATAACAACACAAGGGAAGTACACAGTTGCTGATGTAAAAGCAACATGTACGACGATAGTTTTTTTTAACTATTTTGTTGAAGAAAAACGACGTAAATGCTCGTTTAGATTTGAAATATACATCCCATATGTTTAATGCATAAGATTATCAAGGAAAATGAAATTATATGATTAAAAAGAGCAGAAAAAGAGGAGAAAAGAAAAGAAAAGAGAAAAAAAAAACCAAACAGCGTCGCCGAGAAAGAGAATACCTGAAATCAGAAGGTAAGCAGTCAGAAAACAAAACAAGAGGAGCTAATTCTGTCACATATACAAGTCTATTGTAAACAGGGGAAGATAATTCATTCTGTAACATTAAAATTGATGACGTCACACTCAAAACACGCATGATGAGTTGACGTAGAGATAGGTGGATGGTTGCCAAGGAGACATATTAGATCCAAGATGGCGGATTTCCTTAGCAACCCTCCCCCAGAAAAACGTCATATCATCACATACACACATAGGGAGATATTAGCCAGGTGGCACAGGACTAGTAGTAAGCGCCTGATAAGTCAGCTCCTGCGAGTTCCTCAAAATTGTATTGATTTATGTACATTTATATGCTAAATGTGTTAATTGTATATCTATGTACTATAAAGCGCTTTAGGGTGGCTTATGTTAGCTAGATAGGGCGCGATAACAAATGCTGTATATTATTATCATTGTATATTATTATAATGCAAACATGCCTACTCTAGGAAAGGGAACTTCAAGGGACAGCTGACGGCCGCCTGGTGACTGCAGTGACGTTATCACGTCCGTCATAAAGATGTTTATCATCAAAACTTGCGGTTTCTCACTCGGGAATTTACCTTATTTATCCCAACATGGGCCTTCATGGATGGTGAATACTATTTACGCGTATAAGTCTGTTGAGGTCACAATTGGGTTTTTTCTTCTTTATTTGCGGCATAACGTGCTGAAAAGCACGTACGCTGTAGGCCGAGCAACGCAATATTGTAATATATTTGAGACTTTCATGAGGTAAATAGGAAGACTTACCACTTGGGAAGGATATCATTCACTGACTCCGAATGAATAGTATCCTTCAATGATTGATTTAGGGATTTATCATAAAAAGAGTAATTATATTATCAATGTTATGACAGTATACCTTAAGTAAAAATTTATAAATCACTATATTTGCCTGAGATTTAACCAAACTTCGTGATAGGGAATCGAACCACAGCGTAGGTAATACAACATAGTGTTAGCGAACTCCTGTTTTAGCGAACTCCTGAACCACGTGGCCAATGCGGCCCCAATATAATTCTATAAAACCATGAACGCTAGAAGTCTGCGACGTTTACCGCTAGTTTTCCCTGTGGGATCTAGAGGGTAAAAATGTTTAGTGGGGATTAGAACTCTCGAACTGAAATTCCTAAATGGTTTTCTATTGACCTGTGTCGCCAGATGGAAATACTAACAACAGAAACCGTTTTATTGTCAGGACACGGTGAAGTACCTATCCTATATGTACTTGTAGGATGTGTTTCTCGACAAAGTCCATGATCACGTACACTACCAACAGTGACTTTTTCCTGACCTAGGTTTGTCGACAGATGAGTTATTAGAAGAGGAAGATGACGATAATTTCTATCGTGTTACTCCATTACGAGATTAAAATAATATGAAAAGATTAATTTAAAATCTCCTCATTCATAATAAGAAAAAAACTATGATTTATCCAGTGGTTATTACGCGTTGACCGAGCTTGAACTCCTACTATAATACTTTTAGTTTTCAGTATTAGTTGTTGCTAATGTTATTAATGATATTAATTGTAAAAACGCATGAAATGTGATAACAAAATTCTTTCAGTGCCATGTTTCATTGTGGCACATGATGTTTTGAATATTATGTTATCGTTATTGTTGTTATCATGCGTGATGACCTGGTGATCGTCCTGTGACGATTGTGAAATGTTGCTCGATCTATTACACACTTCGTTTCTATTTCCTTTCAAATCTATTCCATCGGCTATTCCCACTGATTGAAAAAAAAAATCAAATTCTTCTTCATGGAACTAATTAACCTTAAAGTTAATTTTCTCAGAAGATGTACAGTCTGGATTTACCTGTGATAATTTAGCTTGTATAAGATATATAGAAACCGAAAGAGGAACACGATTGCAGTCAGCTGACGAGTCCTATGCTTAGCTGTGTCCTCATCATGATGGACAGCCTTCAGTGAACCTGGATCCCAATCGGTAAGAACTGTGACGTATATTCTCTTGTGTCCATGATATATTGTAGGGAACCAGTTACGATGACACGTCAGGGGTATGTGTTAAAAAGAAACACAGGACCTGCACGTAATCAGACAAGCATTATTTACGTGTTGTTGTGATTGCTATATATGGTGGTTTATAAGATAAAACCTACATCTGAGTTACAATGTATAGTTAACAAGGTTGATAAGTATATGGTGTTAAGTGTATGGTTTTAAGTATATGGTGTTAAGTGTATGGTTTTAAGTGTATGGTGTTAAGTATACTGTTCTGTGTTATAGTTCGTTGCACGCATTGTACAGTTGATTATAGATTATTAGCAAACATTGTTGGTGGTAAGCGCCCTATATCGACAACGTAATGGTCCTGATGTAAGTAGTATAAGTCTGGCATTTTCTACAATGACACATATAGGTTCAACGTAGATAGCTTTTAAACTCGATACAAGTAATGGGGAAATAGTAGTTTTCTTAACCCTTATAAATTTTTAAAAAAATCGATGCAGTATGCATATCGTTATAGGGTGTGGGTTGGGAACGTAGAAGAGGTTTGGTTGTATTTTGTTTTACGTCCTACTTACAGCTAAGGTCATTTAAGGACGTGGGGAGAAGATGTGATGAAAACGAAAATCCACGAGGTGAAATGCTCATTAGGGTGATTGCTACAATCATGTAGAGTTTATCGTATCTGTAACAATGTGATATATTTCTGTCTATTCCAGTTAACGAACTGTATATGCTACCACGGTAATTTCCTTAGTGCTTAACTTTAACTATTTGTCGAGTTTGGATATGTTATGCTGAGACACTGATAAGATTATTGACATTCCGCTTAACAATAAGACGATGTACTGTGTTAGTATTTTGAGACGTGTTTATCTATACTGCAATTTCAATAACAAAAACGTTGCCGAAAACAAATGATATGCATTTTTTAAAAGTGAACTCCTTGTGGGACGCTTGTTTAGATAAACATTTGAAAGATTATCATTCATTGATCGTATTGTCTCTGGGTCGATTAACATTAATATATTGGTGAGGAAAATGAATTTTCATACTCATTTAAAATAAATGATTTACTACTTAACCTTTACAAAATTCCCTAAACTTTATTCTTATCAAATTGTTGTCAGACGATGACGGGCTGCGCTCCGCTCATAGCGGCGGCGATTGATTTCGGGACTACTTTCTCTGGCTACGCCTTCTCCTTCCGCCATGATTACGATAGAGATCCACTCAAGATATCCTCCAATAGTTGGATCGCAGGAGGAGGGAGCTTAATGTCACAGAAGACGCCGTCCACCCTTCTCCTTGACTCAGATAAGAAGTTCCACTCATTTGGATATGATGCTGAAAATAAATATTCGGAATTAACTGAAAATGAAAATCATCATGGTTGGCTGTACTTCAAACGATTCAAAATGTTACTGCACAATAATAACGTATGTACACAAATACAAACATGTATATTGTATTTACATAAACACATTTACATACATGTGTAAACTTTAAAGTAATCATATACACATACATGATTATATTAATGTTTACATGTACATGTTTGTATCCATATACATATATGCATGTACATTAACCGAGATACACATATAGTGTATATATATACTCGCATAGCCATACTCACATACACGCATTCTAAATTAAATCTGAACGTATACACCCGTTTTACAACCATATTGAACACATACATGCTGAACAAACATCGTGCGTACATATACACTTCAATAAAAATAAACATATACTCACACATATATACATACATATGCATATACGTATGTATAAAGAAACACGCCCATTTATGCAATGACTTCGTTAAGTAATTTTAACAAACGATTAAGATTGTCGTGCTTTTCCTGAAATCACAGAATGAATATGTTAATGATTCGAATTTGAAACTAAAAGAGACGTCACAGGTTAAAACATTTACTTACCACTTCTTTTCGCTAATACATAAAGTGTCGTACAACAGTTATTGACATGAACTGTACCGTTTACCTAGTTTAAGTTTCAGTGAACTTGATGATGAACTCATTGCCTTCGATAGGTGCTCCGCCGGTCAACGATGATACAAGACGTGAACGGCGTGTCGATGCCCGCCATGACGATTTTCTCAATGGCGATTCGATACCTCCGGGAGCACCTCCTAGAAACTCTTCATCGTCAGATGGACGGCTTCGACGAGGACATGATTAGATGGGTCCTGACAGTACCGGCAATCTGGAGCGATGGCGCCAAGCAATTCATGCGGGAGGCAGCCAAGGACGTAAGTTTAGTACCACGTACCTTGAAAAAGAAGATTATGTCTTCGGATGTTAGTAAGAATACTTATTGGTTATGTTATTTCCACGATGTAAACTAAAACATATCCAGTTCAAGTGATTAAAATGATATCGGACATTTTGTTTTCTTTCGGCCTGTAATTTGTTCTTATTGTCTCGAACCATCGCATTTTATTTACCCCTCTAACTAGACCCCACTGAGTTTCGTCCCTGTCGATGAAGACGCTCACTCATTCCCCTACCATTTGGTCTGTCCGGCGTCAATGTGTTCAGTCAATCTATGTATTGCTATTGCAGGCCGGTATTCAGAATCACCAGCTCACATTGGCCCTAGAACCCGAGGCTGCATCGCTGTATTGTATGAAGCAACCGATGACCAAGCTTGCCACGGTAGACAAAAAAACGTCCTACGTCGAATTTGAGATCGGCACCAAGTACATGGTTATCGACATTGGAGGTAATTACTGTAGTGCCAACACGAGTTCTGTCCCTTATAACCACTGTATGTTGTTTAAATAGCATAGTATTACATCCCCTAGGTCATTAAAATCTACAGTAGACTGTTGTTTGTGTTTGTTGTTGTTTCTGTTTGAGGAGTTGTTTTTTCAATGTGATAAGATGATATTCATATCATCTAATAACATGTTTTGCAAATTGTCA